AAAAAAAAAAAAAAAAAAAAAAAAAAAAAAATCACAAGACTGGAACCCGTTCAAACTCAAATTCTCAAACTGTCCGACTCTTCTAGTAATTCCGGTTGTTTTCTGCTGTTACTGAGGTACATTCACGTCACTAAGGCCTGAACATTCTCAGTGAATAAATCAAAGCTTGGACGCAAAAACATAAAAACAAAAAGTTAAAAACTCTGCAAACTCCGCAGTCTGGCATATGATTCATTCTGAAATGCATGCTTCTAATCACACATCAGCCATTATACTGCATTAGTGGGATCTCATGTGGCCTCATCTCATTCATCACAGCCACTGTCAAACTAATTTGGTTCCCCATTAGTGGCCTATGAGATCCATTTGCTTATCAAGGCTGTGAGGACAGAGTGCAGTTTTCATCTTCTTTTGCCTGAAATGACTCCTTACTCTTATCCCAGAATTTCCAAACAGCAGTAAGAGAGTCCTGAATTATGCAAATGATGCTGTCAAAATGATGACTTCATTTCCTCTCAAACCTCAAAATAAAATTGTTACCAAAATAAGAATAAGATTAAGAGTCCCTAAAACTTTAAAAACTCTTTAAACCATTAAATTAACCAGTAAATATTTAAAAACTTCAATGAATCATATCCAGATATTATTTATGCTCTCCATGTGTATGGGCAGCCAGCCAGGTTCAACCAGACAGGGAAACAAATGTGCAGGCATTACATGCATCAGGAGGCAGGAAGCACAGGAAACTTTTGCATCAAGTGATCAATTTCCAGTAAAAGAAATGAGCTACTTATCCCTTGTTAACTGTTTAACAATGGATCAGCAGGATGCACATATACATCATGCATTACTGACATAAGTTTGTACAGCTGATATTACCAAACATTCATAAATACATTTATATTCTCCAGCCACTTTACTCCTTGTCAGTGTTGGATTGAACCCATTTTGTCTTCAGAGCTGCCTTAATTCACTATTTCATAGATTCAACAAGTTGCTGTAAATATTCCTCAGATTTTTGTCCACATTGACATGACAGCATCACACAGTATCTGCAGATTTGTTGGCTGAGTACAGTGAACTCATTGTCATGTTCAGAAAACAAGTTTGAGATGATTTAACCTTTGTGACATGGCAAACTGTGGTCAGAAAGGGATGGGCATGGTCAGCAACAATAGTCGGGTAGGCTGCGATGTTTAAATGATTTTCAGTTGGCGATAAGAGCTCCACAGTGTGCCAGGAAAATATCCCCCACACAATTACTCGCCTGCGGCTGCCATGCATGCCTCAGCAGCCTGGTTTGTTGACACAGGGCAGGGTGGATTCTGATTCTACCACCTGCATGCTGCAGGAGAAATCAAGACTCATCGGAACAGGTAACATTTTTCAAATCTTCCATTGTCCTATTTTGGTGAACAGGTGCAAACCGTAGCCTCGGTTTCCTGCTCTTAGCTGACAAGAGTTGCAGCCAGTGTGGTTTTCTGCTGCTGTAGCCCATCTGCGTCAAGGTTCAACATATTGTGCATTCAGAGATGCTCTTCTGCATACTTGGATGTATTTATTTGTAATTTTTGTGTTACCATTGCCTTCCTATCTGGCCAATCTTGCACTAGCATCCATGCAACATTCAAAGTTGTTCAAATCCCCTTTCTTCTCCATTCTGATGCTCGCTTTGACCTTCATGCCAGATCCACTGAGTTGCTGCCATGTGATTGGCTGATTGAAGTGTTAATGAGCAGCTTAACAAGTGTACCTAATAAAGATAAGATAGAACTTTATTAATCCCTCGGGTGGGTTCCTCTGGGAAATTCGCTTTCCAAAAGCACAGCACCGACAGAAGGCGTCTCAGGAGGGGAAAGCGGTGCTCTACCTGCACTGTGTATAGTGCTGGCGGAGCCCTGCTGACGTCCATCCATCCATCCATCCATTCGCGTCCGCTTATCCTGTTCAGGGTCGCGGGGGGCGCTGGAGCCTATCCCATCGGGATGGGAGACTCGGGTAGTGTGGAGCGCTAGTATTCAGTGTTTATCTCCGTGGGGACCAGTTGGAGCATTAAGCCTCAGAACAGGGGTTTATATTCAAATAATGTGCAAAATCAAGATGGCTGCAAAAAACCAGTGTGAGTTGATCGTGTAGCAGATTTGGCATCTTATTTGTTGCTTCTTAGTCATATTACTTTAAAAAAAGCAAACAAAAGCAATAAGGTAATGCAAAAATTATTCACTTTTTTTTTAATAGACTGAAATGACCAAAGACAATCTGAAACTCTAAAAAAAATGAAATGAATGAAAAATACAAAATTAGTTTCCAGTTCACTTGGACCTGGAAGGACACGTGCCCATTTAGTTCCCTTGTAGTGAAGTGAGGGGTGAAGGACTTTAATACAGAGTCTTGTGTTCACTCTCTGACAAACTTTATGGCGCTTGAGCCCATGCAAAACTCGCTGTAAGACTACAGTTTGAAAGTCGTGGTTCTTTTCCTCCTTTACTAGCAGATTCGAAATATCCTGTGAGCAGCAGGGCTTTGCAAACTGAGCGCAAATCTGCTACTATATCGTTCAGATTCTGCTGTTTCTAGCTTGGTGTTTGTCTACTGTAGGAAAATGAATAAATAATCAAAGGTTTGCGTGTCACTGAGTGAGCGCACATCTATAATGAATGCTACCTAGCTGTATTGGGATAATAAATCTGGTTATACACTCAGTGTTCCTCTGTGCAGCTGACACAGATTTTTATGAGTCATTTCTAATGGGACTGCAGGAAGCTGCTTGATTTGGCTGCAATACAAAGATGCAGGAAACGGGTCTGCTTTAATATGGTAACACAAAAGGACAATAAAGTACTGCTCACATGGGTGTCTACTTGAACTGTCTCTCACTGGTCTTACTCAGCTTATTTTCATATAAAACACTGCACAGAGTCTGAGAGCGTACATGCTTGCAAGCATATTTTATTCCCACTCCCCCTTTATTTAATCCGATTTCTTGTACATCAACATACTATTGCCTGCATGGCTTTTTGTTGCACATGTTAATGCACTTTAACAGCTTTCTGTAATTGTTTTGTTCCCCTGTTCTCCCTCTTTTTTATTTTTTTTCCCTTTAATACCTTGGTGATAGGAACCGCGATTCTTGCAGCCTGCTCACTATGCCTGTTTTATCTCTCCCTCCCTCACACTTGGACTACATTTCCTCCGCCTCCTGTGTCTGTGCAGGCACTTTTGTCTTCGTAGAGCGATATCTTGCTGGCATGGTGCCCGCATCAACTCTCTAATCTAATAAACACCATAATCAGGCCACTACTTGACTACACCACAGTTGGGGAGTTTCACCCGAGTGTGAGCCCCAGAGGCAGCAAGCATTCAAAGGTTCTGGTATGATGGGGGACCAGCTTGTATATAAAGCTCATTCTCTCTGTGTTTACCCTCTGCTGTATATTGCCAGTGTGCTAGCTACAGTGTGTATGCATGTTTGTGTGTCTTGCTCAGAGCATCTGTTGTGTGGATAGTCAAGTCTGTAGGCTCAGTGAAGAGCGCGGCACTAAAGGCCTCTCCCAGCCTCTTTGTGGCTCAGCAGGAGCTTCAGATCTGGTGGGAGGAGGACGTTTGAGGTGCGCTACTCGGTCTTCTCTCCTCCTGACCACACAAAGTAAAACCAGACCAAAGCCCTCCTCTCTCTGTGGGAGATACAGCATCTCTCTGTGGAGGCTGAACACAGTATTGGTGCTCTGAGCCTATTCTGATTCCCTGCTTATTCTCCTCCTCTGCCTCCTGCTGCTGCTGCCGCCTCTACTCTGGCTGCTTCTGAAAGTCTGCAGCTCCGTGAATGCACATCAGTGCCATACCAACACATTAAAGATTAGGTCTCAGCAAGCATGTAAGTTCTCCTCCTCTGACCTGTGCGCCTCTGCGCTTAGTCGCGCCTTCCATGACTCTCGAACCTTAAGTAGTACTTCGTGTTGAAGAATCTCACTACCGTTGTGATATAGACAATCAGTCAGTTTCATACAGTGCCCCGGCACAACATATAAGAGAAGACTCTCTAGGAGCATGCTCGATAAGCCAAGTAGACAATTATTAGAATCCCCCCTACATATCAATATAACATCTGTGTCAGTTCTGTGTCTATGCAAGCAATGTCCTATCAGCTGTAACGCCTGAGTGTGTTGAAACAGGCAGGTGTATTCTAGATTATCATACCTACCTAGCATGCTTGCGAAATCGTGAGAAAATCAAGTACTCTATGCGACACATGACTTATGAGG